TTCAACATCAACAACTTAAAACAAAGGAAAGAACTGATAAATGCTGTAGAAGTGGAAGCTAGTAGCACTTTGAGGTTTCGTAATGTAAGGTGCATTATAAATTAAATGTGTTATTGTTATTAATATATTATAAAAGTACGTCTTTTTGTTTAGGTTTAGCGAGAGTCAGGCCCTCATTTCATACTCCCAAATGCAGCGGCAGGTCAACAAGTTCATCTATTTGTTCATATGACCCTGTAGTACGGTGTATAATAAGTACTTTTAGGATAATAACCACAACCGACAAGTTTTGTTGAAGAAGAATAGTTCAAACAATTGCAAGGATTTGAATTCAATCCATCCAATCAGGACGCTGTTGATGTTAGCATAAACTGGTCTCGCTGGCACATAACCTAAAAAATAGAACTATGTAAAAAAAAATCAATCTAGCGCCTTTTTCGATCGCAAAACAGTTTTCTGAAAAGGAACCCAATCATTCAGCCAATAAGCTCTCAGCACTCCCAAAGTGTCAAATAGTGACTCACATGGTTCTATGTAGCCTGGCCTTATCCATCCGTACACTGCGCTCAATCATCATTTCACTGCATGTAACGTCTGGGTCTGGTCCCTGTGTTAGAGATTACAATCGGTTGAATTTCGACCAACCATTCAGAGAGCGCAGGAGGATGGTGTGGTAGTTAGTTGTGGGTGACGTCAAGAGTTTGTGTCGAACGGGCAGGTTGTGGTTTGGCAATGGCGAAAAATGCGATAGTAAAGTATTCCGGTCTGGTTCTATCAAGACATTGAAGCCGGAGCAAGAGGAATGTTTAGTTAATGTAATCACTGGAAAAATCGTGGCACTACGCCCCGCGGGCTCTGTTAGCGGCAAAGGAGATGGCTAGGCTAAATGCTAACGACAGACTTGGGCGCATTACATGCGTCACGGCATAACTCAGATCCAATCGTTTTAATCTGCAAAAGGAGTTAACCCCTCCCACCTGTAAACGGAGCTCAATGGAGCACCTCCAGACCTTAGTACTAAATGTAATTTGTACTATGGTGTGGTACGACCAGGCTAGGTTCTCTGCAAAGGTAAAACGTTTTCTAATAAGACCAAATCAGACCAGAGCAAGACTTTTTCTGTTGGGACAAATAAAATGTATTTATTATGCATAAATAAAGGTTGGTACCCTAGCTTTAGCAACAAGTCTATACCTGACAGAAGTTAGAGTTAAGCTAACGGACCAGAATTAGGGCGCTGCGCAGACGTTGCTATTAACAGAAATGACCAGGCTCCTAATGCACATTTCACAGCGTTCATACGAGGATCAAAAAACAATGTAGTTCTAGCGCCCAGACAGTAGGGGGCAGAGGAACTTTACAACACGACACACGCGAGACAGAAATTCCTAAATTAAATAAAAGACGAGATTGAGGTGAGACGAGATTTTAAGATTAATATTAGAGTCCAGACTTAGGACTAATTTATTGGTAGACCCGGTAGACCCACAATGCAGACCAGGTGTACATTTCTTTTCATTATAAAATTAGTGTGATTTTTTATTATACTAAATGTAATTGGTTATAGCCCAAATTCATACCAAACTGCATTTACAACACTCTATGAGTATAAATATAAGTCACTACAATCATTATTTATGGTTTTTTTGTACACATTTCTAATAGAGTTTAAGGAACGTTTATTATTTCTTAAGTTCATAAAGCGTCTCATAGTCAAACCAAACTTCATTAACTTGTTGAAAACAACACTCTGTTTTCTACCATCTGCTTTGTGTGTATATGTGTGCGTGTGCGTGCGTGTGTGTGTGTGTGCATCGCTGCAGGACCTGTACGTCGCCCGAGCTCGAGGCCAGGCTGGTCGTATCACAGCCGACCCCTCTCACCCTGCACATAGACTATTCCAACCACTCCCCTCAGGCAGGAGGCTGCGGTCCATCAGGACTAGAACCTCCCGCCACAAGAACAGTTTCTTCCCCTCTGCTGTTGGACTCTTGAACACTTCTTAACCTGTCCCCCCGCCCTTTATAAAGTCACTTTACGGTGTGTGTGTATGTGTGTGTTAGTGTGGATATGTGTGTGTCTCTATGATTTCGTAAATATAAAATATGAATTGTGTATGTAATTTTATCTTGTGCGTTGTGTGGTGCACAATTTTCTGGGAAAGCCTTGATCCACTTCTTCCGCCTCATTCCAGTGATTTTTTCAAAGTGTCTCCTTGACGACAGTTGGACCATGAAGAAACTCTTGTCTTTCTCTCTATTCTCGCGGTTGCTACAACCGTACACCGCACAAAAAGATGGCATTTTGACAGCGCTTCTTCTTCTACTATATCTCCGTGTATAAACCCGGCAGACTGCACCATCAGGGTACGTCACGTCCTACGTTTGTTATTCGCGCCACTGCCCTGATGTCATATGAAACCCAAGAATGGGAAGTCTTAATCTTCTCTTGGAAACTGTGGCTTTATAAAGAACTGAGAGAGAAAAATAAATCTACTTTTTAACACATTATTTTAAAAATAATTCTGTCCAAACTTGAGGCAAACACAGCAAAACATATCACGGGTGAAAAATTGTTGCTTAAAGTTTAAACTTTAAGAAGATCCTTTCCCACTTGGATTTTATTCCCTCATTTTGCTCCAGGCCGAGTTACTGTTTATAATAATGAAGCAGCAGGACTCTCCTTTTGCTCGATGACATCATCAAAATCCTCACCTGGACTCAGCATTTCACAAAAAGACCTTGTTAAGAGAATTATTCAGTGGAAAAAAACAGGCTAAAAGCAGATAAGACAGATCCCAAGTCAACAAGAACCAAAAATCATTCAGTTCACACAATAATTACAGAAAGATTGACAGAATTATGAGAAAACACATTTTTCCCACTGGGTTTTTTTTTTTACTTGTCGATGCAGGAGGGTCTTGTTGGACAGTTAGTGTCCAACAGAAAGGATTGGTGATGATCAGGACACTTTAGCATTCTACAACATGTATGGACATTTTCTTCTGTGTGTGCTTTATATTCTTCATGTGTTTTAACTGTTGTCTCTGACCTCCATCCATCCATCCATTTTCTTCCCCTTAATCCATTTCTGGGTCGGGGGGGGGGTGGCAGTCAGAGCTGCACCCAGTCCACAGAGCACCAGCCCCTCACTGATCCTCCTGCAGGTGGTGAGTCCACAGGAGCTGAGATCTTTCAGTTGGGGCTTTGGGCAAAGTAGGGTTAAGTGTCTTGCCCAAGGACACAAGGAGTCGTGAAGTAGGTCTTACGTTGGGCTCGAACCCACGACCTTCAGGCCCAAAGGCCAATGCTCTACCAACTGAGCTATTCTCTGACCTGTGTTGATGATTTCAATGGTTTTGTTAAGTCCTCTGAGATGACTTCTGTTGTGACCTAGGGCTATACAAGAATAAATTGTATTGTATTGTGAATTACTGTCTTTTAAATGTCTTTTTTGTGTTTACTAAATGTGCTTTTGTCTCATAGTTGGAAGGATTTCATTTTAAAACTCAGAGTGAAGTCCGTTTCCAAAGTATTCTTAAACATTTGGTCAACTTTTGGACACAAACTGGAGAAAAACTGCTTCAGATACTTCAGGTTTAGCCAAAACAATAATAAAAGTGATTCATTATTTTACTATCCATTATCTTAAATATTAGTCAATTCTTTATTCTTCAATCCTCAAAGCTTTGACACTGAAATCTCTACACCGAAGGACAAATAAGGATTTATCTCCTCTTAACTCCAAGAGCAGTCAATTTGACGGCTTTTAAATCTCTCTTTTCCTAACTTTGTGATATATTTTGTTCCTTTATGTGGTTTATTTCTATGTTGTTGTGAAGTTTTAAGAAATTATCTTGTAGTAGTTAAATTTTTGACTCATTTCCCACCAGTGAATATGAAGTGCTGGCTACCATAGCAACACGCTGTTAGCCTGAAGCGGTTAGCATTATGCTCTAGTTACCATAGCAACACGCTGTTAGCCGGCAGCGGTTAGCATTATGCTCTAGTTACCATAGCAACACGCTGTTAGCCGGCAGCGGTTAGCATTATGCTCTAGTTACCATACAACACGCTGTTAGCCGGCAGCGGTTAGTATTATGTTCTAGTTACCATGGCAACACGTTGCTAGCCGGCAGCAGTTAGCATTATGCTCTTGTTACAATAGCAACACGCTGTTAGCCTGCAGCAGTTAGCATTATGGTCTAGTTACCATAGCAACACGCTGTTAGCCCATAGCAGCGTGTTGGTCTATTATGGTCTTTCTTGCAGTAACAGTGAGTAAAAGGTGACAACAAAACATCAGATGTGTTAAAATTAAGTCTCTTTGAGGGGAATATCCCAGAACTCCATTGGTTTGACCGGTGGCAATCAAAACAACGGCTCTGGGAGTCCTATTATTAACCTGTGTAGTTTTAAAGTGGCAATATGTAAAATTTTAATGTCAAGTCATCATTAAAGGGCCCTAACCTGTCAAAAGGCATTAATAAAATATGCTCTTTTCCAATACTTCTTTAACTGAAAACAGTAGTTCAGCCGAGATAATCAAAGTTTTGCAGCCCCTAAATCTTGTTATCGTTTTCATTTAGATGTCCCGCCCTCCCCTATTTCACCAATCAGAAATTCTGTGATCCGGGCGCCAGAACTCACAGCATCAAGCTAATCTCACTGGTTAAGTACCATGTGGCCACAGAACGAAAAAAGGTCTCGTTATGATTCGACAAAACAAGGAATAAAACCAGGATTTCTTTCTTTGTGAAAAAGGTGTTGGTTATAGATTTGTTGTTGACAAAACTCTTGTCTATTCAGCTGTTATGGTCCCAGCTGGATTCGTCTGCATATCTGGCGACCTGAGTCAGGGAGAGTGGCAGAGGCTGCAGTACCACTTTTGGACACATTTTTACATACCGCTCCTTTAATCTATGGTTGTGTGATTGCTTTTTGTTTGTTGTGTGTTTGTGTGTGTGTTTTTGTGTGTGTGTGTGTGTGTGTGTATTAGACCTTGGTCGCAGTAGAGGCCTCCCCAGCCCTCTTTGCAGTTGCATTGCCAGGGCTGGGTGCAGGTTCCGTGCACGCAGCCTGGGTGACGTGCACACTCCTCACACAGCGCCCCCTGCCATCCCTGATGACACACACACTCTCCCGGCACCTCGCAGTAACCATGGAGACCACTGCAGCCCGGCGCGCAGATCGCTGGAGGGAAAAAGAAGGAGAAGAAGAAGAATAAGAAGAGAGAGAGCGTTAACACAACTTGAATGGGAAAAAACAGAGAAAAAGTTAAATGATGCTTTAAGTTGTGGATCTTTCACTTGGTTTGATAACTGTTGTGAAACAAGATTTGCTAAGGTCTTGTTATGGGTCTGGAGCGGGTCTGGAGCGGGTCTGGACTGGGTATGGACTGGGTATGGACCGGGTCTGGACCAGTGGAATGACTTGCAGAGGCATAAGACCCAGGACTGGATTTGGACCTGATTAGATTATTCATCTCAAGGTTTAGACTAGGTCTGGAGTAGGTCTGGAGTAGGTCTGGAGGAGGTCTGGACCGGGTCTGTATTGCGTCTGGATTGGTCAGGATTGGGTCAGGACCGATGGAAAGCCCTCCAGAGGCAAAAGACCCAGGACTGGATTTGGACTTGAGTTGATTTTTCATGTTGCTAGGTCTGGACTGGGTCTGGACCAGATCTGGACTGGGTTTAGGACTGGATCTGGACCAGTGGAAAGAGCTGCAGAGGCATAAGGGACCCAGAACTGGATTTGGACCTGATTTGCTTTTGTTTTCCAGCCTTATTGAATGAATGAATTATGAATGAATGAATTCCGTTTATTTCGGTCACTTGTACAGTTTTACACATTGTCACAGGACAGTAAAATAGAGCAGAAAGAAAGACCGAAAAGGAGTGGGCTAAAGCTAATGTGAGTGTAAACAATAGCATTTAAATAAGCAACTGCTGCCTATTCTCCCCGTGTCAGCGTAGGTTTCCTCCAGGTACTCCGGTTTCCCCTACCACTAAAAACGTGTACAATATGTCTGGCATGCGCCTCCTGTACTGGCCCCGCTCCCATCTCTGTGTGGAGTGAGAGACAAATGCCCACAATTGTAAACCGCTTTGACTCTGGTCTGTGAAAGGCGCTATATAAATAAAGATTACTTACTTACATACTGTATCAACATCAACATTCTGTGACATATTATAATTATGTATTAGAAACTAACTGATTTGAGAGCGAGGAACTAGTGACATGTATTAGATCTATTTTGTTAGAGTTAGATACCCAAGATTTAAATTTAGACAAAGACAAAATATTAAAATCACTGAAGAAATGAGAAATGCAGTGTGAGGCTGTGTAAAAAGAGGAATTTCGGGTTAAAAGTTTATTATTGTGCGTTCAGTGATAGACAGAAGTTTTGTGTTTTATTTTTGCTGCAATTGAGACGCTGAAGGGGAGAAGATTGATGTGGCTTTGGTCCCTGCACTTTTCACTCTCTGCTTTGGTCCCTGTGCTTTTCACTCTCTGCTCTGGTCCCTGTGCTTTTCACTCCCTGCTTAGGTCCCTGTGCTTTTCACTCTCTGCTTTGGTCCCTGCACTTTTCACTCTCTGCTTAGGTCCCTGTGCTTTTCACTCTCTGCTTTGGTCCCTGTGCTGTCCACTCTCTGCTTTGGTCCCTGTGCTTTTCACTCTCTGCTTTGGTCCCTGTGCTTTTCACTCCCTGCTTTGGTCCCTGTGCTTTTCACTCCCTGCTTTGGTCCCTGTGCTTTTCACTCTCTGCTTTGGTCCCTGTGCTTTTCACTCCCTGCTTTGGTCCCTGTGCTTTTCACTCTCTGCTTTGGTCCCTGTGCTTTTCACTCTCTGCTTTGGTCCCTGTGCTGTCCACTCTCTGCTTTGGTCCCTGTGCTTTTCACTCTCTGCTCTGGTCCCTGTGCTTTTCACTCTCTGCTCTGGTCCCTGTGCTTTTCACTCTCTGCTTTGGTCCCTGTGCTGTCCACTCTCTGCTTTGGTCCCTGTGCTGTTCACTCTCTGCTTTGGTCCCTGTGCTGTCCACTCTCTGCTTTGGTCCCTGTGCTGTCCACTCTCTGCTTTGGTCCCTGTGCTTTTCACTCTCTGCTCTGGTCCCTGTGCTTTTCACTCTCTGCTTTGGTCCCTGTGCTGTCCACTCTCTGCTTTGGTCCCTGTGCTTTTCACTCTCTGCTTTGGTCCCTGTGCTGTCCACTCTCTGCTTTGGTCCCTGTGCTTTTCACTCTCTGCTCTGGTCCCTGTGCTTTTCACTCTCCTGCTTAGGTCCCTGTGCTTTTCACTCTCTGCTTTGGTCCCTGTGCTTTTCACTCCCTGCTTAGGTCCCTGTGCTTTTCACTCTCTGCTTTGGTCCCTGTGCTGTCCACTCACTGCTTTGGTCCCTGTGCTGTCCACTCCCTGCTTTGGTCCCTGTGCTTTTCACTCTCTGCTTTGGTCCCTGTGCTGTCCACTCTCTGCTCTGGTCCCTGTGCTTTTCACTCTCTGCTTTGGTCCCTGTGCTTTTCACTCTCTGCTTTGGTCCCTGTGCTGTCCACTCCCTGCTTTGGTCCCTGTGCTGTCCACTCTCTGCTCTGGTCCCTGTGCTTTTCACTCTCTGCTTTGGTCCCTGTGCTGTTCACTCTCTGCTTTGGTCCCTGTGCTTTTCACTCTCTGCTTTGGTCCCTGTGCTTTCCACTCTCTGCTCTGGTCCCTGTGCTTTTCACTCTCTGATTTGGTCCCTATGCTTTTCACTCTCTGCTTTGGTCCCTATGCTTTTCACTCTCTGATTTGGTCCCTATGCTTTTCACTCTCTGCTTTGGTCCCTATGCTTTTCACGCTGTGCTCTGGTCCCTTGCTCTGGTCCCTGTGCTTTGGTCCCTTGCTTTAGTTCCTGTGCTTTGGTCCCTGTGCTTTGGTTCCTGTGCTTTGGTTCCTGTGCTTTGATCCCTGTGCTTTGGTCCCTGTGCTTTGGTCCCTTACTCTGGTCCCTGTGCTCGCCTTGTCTGTGTCACCAAACAGAGACAACTCAATCACTGAGTGTGTTTTCTCATTTAAAATATAAACAAATATGAACTGTAAAACTTGATATGTGCCTGGTTTAAGTAACTATGGTAACAATGGTGTTAGTAACTATGGTAACTATGGTGTTAGTAACTATGGTAACTATGGTATGAGTAACTATGGTAACAATGGTGTTAGTAACTATGGTAACAATGGTGTTAGTAACTATGGTAACAATGGTGTTAGTAACTATGGTGCGAGTAACTATTGCTGGGTTGCACCTGACGTCATGCAGCAGCGCGAGAGTGCTCCGAGGGACAGGAAGTAAATCTCCCCATTAGGAACAATGTAAAAATTCACTGATTCCGAGTCAAAATGCTCGTTTTCTGTGGCTTGTACAGTTGTGGCAAATGCTCATATCAAGTGGGGAACTTATGGAGTCTCTATTTCGCTAAAATTTATTTCACTAACAGGTTTTAATTTTTAGGAAAATGCCTAATAAGGAACAGGAGAAATGCGCTAGCATTAGCATTAGCATGCGTAGACTCTGCGGCCACAGAGATAGATGACAGTCCACAGTCTTTACTTTGCTGACTTTCATTGATACAATGCAGTATTTTTGTGTGGTATATGGTTGTATTAACCGAGGGAACAGAGAGAACTATTAAATACATGTTTTAATGCCAAAAGTTGTCTCAAACCAACATGTACATGTGTAACAAAGCTAATAGTAGGGTTTACAATCAGTCTTCTCACATATATTCTAGCCATTGTGTTACAAGAGTCATTGTTCATCGTTATTCCCACGACTGTGAGGACCAGGGTCTAGGACTGTGAGGACCAGGGTCTAGGACTGTGAGGACCAGGGTCTGGGACTGTGAGGACCAGGGTAATGTCTGAAGGTGTATCCGAGCTCCGTGCCCACAGGACGGCTGCGTTGGTTGCAGCTCCCCGCCGTTAGCTTACTGCTGTTAGCTTAATGCCACGGAGCCCCCCCGGAGCATAACTATTCACCGAAATGACAATAAATGGTCATATTTCTCGCCTCAAATGTTGTGAAAAGTAAAATTTGTGCCCTATTTATTGAATTATTGATCAGAACTATCATCTCAGACGTGGTTCTGTTGATACAAGAGTGACGAGCTCCACTGTCGTCTCTATAACAGCCTTAATCCTCCTCATTGTTGGACTCATTCAAACTATACTATTAAAAATAGTTTTCACTCAAAATAAGAGTGATACTAAGCCACGAAAAGCTCCTGTGTGTGCGTTTTCGCGCATCGCCTATATAGTAACTATGGTGTTAATAACTATGGTGTAAGTAACTATGGTGTTAGTAACTATGGTAACTATGGTGTTAGTAAATATGGTAACTATGGTGTTGGTAACTATGGTAACTATGGTGTAAGTAACTATGGGAACTATGGTGATAATAATAATAATAATAATAATAATGCATCGGTTTTATATAGCGCTTTTCTGGACACTCAAAGACGCTTTACATGTCATTATTCTTTCACTCTATACACAGTGGTGATAAACTACTACTGTAGCCACAGTAGCGAGGCAACCAGTCTGTGCCATCGGCCCCTCCGACCACCACCAACCATTCATTCACACACCAGACTCATTCTAGGCAATGGGGGTGAAGTGTCTTGCCTAAGGACACAACGGCAGTTTGGCACTTTACAGCCTCAGCCGCCCCACTGATACAGTAACTATTGTGTTATAGTAAATATGGTATAAGTAACTATGGTGTTAGTAACTATGGTGTAAGTCAGTGGTTCCCAAAGTGGGGGTCCCGACCCCCCGGGGGGGTCGCAAGATGATTGCCCAAAAATATATATATATTTTAATTACGTTTGCAATTGACGGCATCAATCAAAATCAAGTTACGTAGCTTATATCATGCACAGCGACAAAGCGTGTCCTGCTGTGGTTTGCTAAAGCTAAAGGTGTTTGGAGGATACCAAAAAATAATGCCTGCTTAAAAATGAAATGTGGTTAATATCCACAACAGAAAAACCCAGAGGGGGGGAGAAAAGTCACATGTGCCAGAGGTCAGGCTGATGGTGCGAAGACTGCGGAGGGAGAGAGGGCAGCGGAGAACACCGCGGTAAAGAGGCCCGGCTTTTTGGAGTCAGCGGTAAAGATGTTCGCACACTAAAAGCGTGTGGCAGCTTTATGCTGCTACTTACAGT